TATTTATTTATTTATTTATATGTATAAATAAATATTTATATAAATGTGTATGTATAAGTCAAAATTTCTGATTTGTAAAATGTAAAAGTTGTTTTGTTATTTTTGAAATAGGGTAAAGATAAAGTAGGGAAAGTGAATTTTTCCCCTATTTCTTTTGCGTTGTCCAATATTTTCAAACCTTCAATATTAATAGAAGGGTAATTAGCACATAATATTCGCATCTTTCATTGTTACTGTGGAAAACATTATTATCTTTTATTTTTTGACATTTTCACCCTTATTTTCACATTTTATTATGCAAAATGTCATTTTCATATATTTTCTCAATTAAAAGTTGTGAAATGACGAAAATAGATTTCACTTTAAATAAAACAAAAGAAAAAAGAAAAAAAACTAATTGCAATCATAGTTCCAATTTTTTTAAAAAACTCAAACGAGTCTCAAATAAATTATTAAAAGGGTAATTAGTACACAATATCCCTATCTTTCCCTTTAATTGTGAAAAATGTCCATACCTTTTCTGTTTTAACATTTTCACCCTTAATTAAACATTTGATTGTGCAAACCATCATTTTCATCCAATTTTCTCAATAAAGAACTGTGAAATAATAAATATACTCTCATATTTAAATAAAATTTATATTTTTTAATTTCTAATTCTTTAATAATTTATTTGGGTCATGTCTGCACTTTTTACCTTTTGTAAAAAAATTATTTTTTTAGTAATTTATCGGGATTCGTTTGCATTTAAAAAAAGTGCAAAAAAAAAAATTGGACTATGGTTGTGATTAATTCTTTAATTTTTTATTTAAATAGGGGAATATATTCGTTATTTCACTGCATTTTATTGAGAAATTGGATGAAAATAGATAGAAATGATGGTTTGCACTATCAAATGTATAATTAAGGGTGAAAATGCGAAAAAAATAAAAGTTATGAACATTTTTGCAATAATAGTGTAAGGTAGAAATGTTATGTGTTAATTACCCTTTTAATAATTTATTTGGAACTCATTTGTACTTTTCAAAAAAGTTGGGATTATATTTGCAATTTATTTTTCATTTTTCCTTTTGTTTTATTTAAAGAGAATGGTATTTTCGTCATTTCACAATTTTTAATTGAGAAAATGAATAAAAATGACATTTTACTCAATGGAAGGTGGAAATAAGGGTGAAAATACAAAAAATGAAAGATAACGATGTTTTCCACAATAATATTGAAAGATCGGGACGGTATGTGATAATTACCCTTAATAGAAATGACATTGTTTTTCTCAAACTCGTACGAACGAGTAACAACGAGACTTCCAAAAAATAACATCGATCACATAATGATATTCGTTTTGTCTTAATGTTCCACCTTGTAACGTGTAGTCGGGCATCGTACAATTAATTTTTACCTAAATTCTTAATTTCATTTTGAACTGTTTTCGTCTACAGCCCAAGAAAGCAATTTGTAGGAACAAGACTTTTCTATAAAAGTTAAATACAATGAATGGAACAATTTTTTATTTTTTATTTTTTTGTTTGTTTGTTCGTTAGTAGATGACACACAACCGGCCGCATTCTTTGTGCTATTTTGGCTTTATCTTTCTGGGCAGTGACAGAAGAAAAGACATAAAACTGTTATTCTTAAAGGCATTGTTTCCATTCTTAAAAGTTTGTTTATAATGAAATATCATGACCTAAAACCATTGTTGATGAATTCAACTTTTTTTGGAACATAAACTATCATTTAGCCCCTTTTCCTCGTGATTATTGTAACTTTTTTGACGTTTTAGATTCTAGACATGCAAGCAAGCAATTATGACAACTTCGATAAAGTGAACTGAACAGTTAATATTTTTATATTTTTTTTGAAATGCAATTCATTAAACGACAAAGTGGCAAGAAACGGATACAAGGAGGAGTTACCTCCAACACAATTCTCCTCTCAGAGAGTTTAAGTGCTTTCTATGCTAAAACATAATCTACCACAAAGCCTTCCAAGGCACAAAAACAGATGGGAAAACCAAACAAACACAATTCCTTCACCATCCAATAGCTGCATCCTCAAATCTAGCATAAATACAGGCCCTCTGCCATCTAATCTGATCTGCGCAAAACACTTTTTACAGACTCTAGAGTTGGGATCACAAGGGCCCTAAAATTCCAAAGTAAGAGTTGGGCCGGATTGAAAAAGAACAAAACCTCTACGGGCAAGAAGTCATAGAGGAAAAGCTAGGACTCACAAGAGACCCTAGAGAGAAAACGTTACCATTGCTTGCAAAGGAAAGACATGGAAGGTAGATGGCAAGAAAAGGAAAATAAATGGACCAGCGTAAGGGAGGAAAATAAATGAACAGTTAATATTGAAAATAGAAAAACTGAAAATCTTGTTTGCTATTCATTATTCAATAATTTGTGTCAAATATTGAAAAATATCTTTCTATATATAAAAAGTGCCTATTTAACGGAATTTGTTGGTTTAACGAAAAAACTAACGGAATTTGTTGGTTTGACGGATTATGTAACGAAATTTCTTGTTTTAAACAGGCAGCTGCACCTTCTTTCAATATTTTTATCATAACTTTGTATTCCGATATTCGATTGAGGCGATTCAAAATGAATTGGAAAGCTAACCCATCTGGCTACAACTTTGATTCAGACATCATTCTCCAATTCGATCACTTTCTATGCCAAAAATATGTCTCAGTATAACGGACTATGTAACGGAATGTTTTGTTTTAAACAGGCAGCTGCACCTTTTTTCAATGTTTTTATCATAACTTTGTATTTCGATATCCTATTGAGGCGATGCAAAATGCGTTGAAAAGATAACTCATCTGGCTACAACTTTAATTTAGATATCATTCTCCAATTGGATTACTTTCTATGCTAAAAATAGCTCTCAATATAACGGACTATGTAATGAAATTTCTTGTTTTAAACAGGCAGCTGCACCTTCGTTCAGTGTTTTTATCATAACTTTGTATTCCGATAT